GTAAAGTACAGATACTCAAAATTTTTACTTAAGTGCAGTAACAAAGTATTTGTACTTAGTTACTTTACAGCTCTGCATGTCTTCCATTAAAATGTTATCTTTTTGTAAAATAAAAATGCTTAAGTGTTGAACTTATATGTCTCATAAAGAAACACAAAACCTATAACAGTAACAATTTGTGAATGCTTGTCTATTGAATAGAACCTAAGCTCATTATTTCATCATTTATTTTTCATGTTTTCTAAAGGAATATCTGATTCTGCACACAGCAACAAAATCTTGATAAACTCACGCCGCTGCGATTCCGTCCACATTTTCCTCATCGCACTAATCACAGGACCCTATAACCCCTAACTCTTCACTCAATCCATTGAACTTTACTGTTGTTCTGTCAAACAAATCATTTTATGCAGGCTGGGAATTGACTTGCTGCAGTCAATCATGATCACTAACATCACTAGCTAGATCTCATGGTTTGTAGAGGATTTAAAACTGAAAATAAAACCATGAATCCTGACACACACAGTTGTCAAGTTAAAAGACACTTTTTAGCAGCACTTATTAAAGGTTTGAGTGAATGTATGTACTGTATAAATTTGAGCCTGTATATCCAAATTGGATCCTGTCTGAGAGGAAAAAMTTCACAATAAATTCAAAGTCATACACCCACTTCTTGTTTTAGACTGACTGATGTTGTGTAATTCAATAATAAAAAACTAAAACCGCTCCATTTCTTATTATTTGTGACCAGTTAGTTTGTTGTGTTTGTTAAACACGTAATACAATGCTTGTTTCATTCAGTCAACCAACTTCATGAACAGGTGATGTGTTCTCCTCCTTCAGCTCCACTTCAAGCATGAAGAAAGCTCCAGCCATATTAAATCAGTCCTGGATGTGAGCTACGGCAAACACTGGGATGAGATCAACAACAAACACACGCTCTTCCTGAGCCAGTCCTTCAACAACCAGTCCACACTGAATCACACCAGCTACAGCCTGGAGGTAAGGCCATCTGGAAGATTTTTATTAATATTCACATTTCTTTCTGTAGAGAGTGACATTGTGTTCCCTGCTGTTGTTCTAGTTTAATCTCCGGTTGCCAGCGAGAGATTTAAACTACAGGACTCAACTCCTGCACTCTCACTTCATTCAGCCTGCTTCTGAAAGCAGCACTCATTTAAAAATCAATTACAATGACCTCATGCCTCTGGTGGCTGGATTACACTGGAAAAGCTCTTCAAAAGACTCCGTTCGGAAAAAATGGGAGGGTACAAACAGTTTTGTGTTATCTCTGTGCGAACGGTATCAGTTTTGTTGCCACACTTTGACCGCTGAAGCCCTCATCCTCCTCCGTGTAATTCAGGCATGCTGACCATGGACACACCGTGGCTTTACCTTTCCACCACCCACAAGCTGAGCCGGCTGCAGCTCCACACCCTGCAGCTCACCTCCGAGCTCACAGCCAGCAAGTGGCTGAGCATCCGGAACCTCGTCCTTCAGGGTTCTTACAGGAGCAGGAGCAGAGAGAAGGAGGCCCRTTTGGCGATTTACTCCCCAGCTGGCATTTACCTCCAAGTAAGGATCAGATCATCTGTTTAGCCTGGTCAGTTTATATGTGCTTGGTCTACAGTTCATTCATGAAATTTACACAATTAAACTGAGGTATCACACACTGCATCAGGGCTTAAAGTAAAATTATACACGTCTCTGGTGAGAAACAACACACTTTAATTTCTTCAAAAGATTCAAAGATTCAAGATTCAAAGTGTTTACTGTATTGTCATATGCACAGATGAAAAACATGTTTCCCTGAGCAATGAAATTCTTACTATGTTGTCCATTTTCGAATGCCAAGAGATAACCATATTAAAAAATGAATCATCACTGAAAGGACTCAAACAATGTTGATTAAATAAAGAGACTAAACTAAGGAAAATAACATCAGAAGGGAACAATATAATAATGACAACAAGAAGGGAACTGTACAATCTGTTTTTAAAGTGTAATGTGCAAATGTGCAACAGGTAACAGTCTGAAATGTGCACATGTGCARTAATAATAGCCAGAAGAATGTAACTTTCAGTTGTTTAAAAGTCTGATGGCACTTGGGAAAAATGAGTTCTTGTTTCTGGAGGTTCTGCATGTCACACTTCTGTACCTCCGGCCGGAGGGCAGAGGTGTAAATAGTCCATGCTGGGGGTGGGTTGGGTTTTTGATAATTGAGGCTGCTCTCCTTAGCGCCCTGCAGTGGTAGATGCTCTGCAGAGCGTGTACCAGTCTTTTTTCTCTAGGTGGGAGAGGGAGTATTGGAGGGCAGCAGATATTGCGTCTGATGTTGACCTGTTGGGCTTGTAGGCATACYCCAGGGAGTCYAGTGTGTCCAGTAYGCTCTCCTGAATGTGGGCCAGCATCACTCTCTCAAAGCACTTCATAATGATTGGAGTGAGTGCTACTGGCCTGTAGTTGTTGACACRGGTATTTGGGTGTCAAGATTCAGCAGCTTGTAGAACCTCCTTTAGCAGTAATACCTCTCAGTGATCATCTCCTGTGCAGAGTTGTAAAGTAACTCAGTACAAATACTTTATTACTGTACTTAATTATATTTTTTGGGTATCTGTACTTTAATTAAGTAATTATTTTTCAGCCAACTTTTTACTTCTACTCCTTACATTTTTAAAAAAGGCAAGAAGTAGAAAGTCGTTACTTTTATTTCATTTTTGTTTGATTTCATTGCAGCTTGTTATTGTAAAAAGTAAATACTATCCATATAAACTGTGCCTCATAGATAGAGTGAATTTAATTGTGGTTTTATATACAAATATAAACTCTGATACCATATTAGTTTGTACACAAATAATTTATGTCACACTGCAACGGGACACAATCATTAAAATAAAAGGACTGTACTTAAGAAGTATTTGTATTTCATGAATTATATTATTACATTTGGCCGCAGCCCTCAGATAGATTTTTATTTTGGGGAAAAGGTTTGTGCAGCCTTGAAATATGTATATAAACTGAAACAGCTRGACTAGTGCATCCTAAATTGAACATAAATTAATTATTTTTATACAATATAGCCATTTCTGCATTTTTGGGGAGGTCACCTCCTAATAAATGTCCTTACAGAAAATATAACTGCTCATTTTAAATCAATACTTTTACTTTTAATACTTAAGTACAAAAATATTACATACTTTAAGACTTTTACTCAAGTAATATTCCTAAAGGAGACTTTTACCAAAGTAATTTTTTGGTAAGATGCTTGTGCTTTTACTCAAGTATCACTTTGTGGTACTTTATACAACACTGCTCCTGTGTAACTTTATTAACTTCTAACATCTCATTATTTRCACACGACTCAGTGACCACAAGCTGCCCAGGTCCTGTACCTGCAAAACTCACTCAAATCAGGTCCATGCTCTTCCACCACCTTATTTCACAGTTGGTGTGAGGTGTTTGTGCTGATTTGCTGTTTGTTTTTCACTAAACATGAGTTGTGCATTTTGGTCAATTAACTCCATTTTAATCCCTGAACATGCATTAGATCAGCAGCTTACCTACACTATCATTCTCATGGAAGCAACAAATGTAAAGGTTTACACACACTGCTTCTGCATACTGGTTTATCCATCCATCCTTCCATCCATCCATCCATCATCTGTTTGTTCAGAGGCATGGTGCTTATTTACTAAGCAAAGGTGGGGTTCATCCAGCGCAGGTTACCAATCAGTCCCTGTGATTTGCTTTGTTTTTAAGTAAAGAATGAAGTTGTGACWTATGTGAATAGTTAGTACAGAATAGTACATGAATAGTTGTGCTTTTTTAAAATTGCAAATATATCCCATTATACTTTTGTTAGCAATAGGGCTAAAAAATATAACTCTATTACCAGAGATGTCAAAATTATTCACATTCATTACTCAAGTAGAAGTATAGGTACTAGGGTTTAAAAAGTATTCTGTAAAAATTGAAAAAATTGTAAAAATGTACACATTATTACACATCTCAGCCTCTTTTATTAAATCTTTGAACAAGCCGAACTGAAATAGAAATGAAACACTTCKTTTATTTTTAAAATGTAAGGAGCATAAAGGACAGATAGTAGTAGAAAGTTAAACATAAATACTCMAGTGAAGTACAACCAAAGGTTCCATTTAAGTGATGTAATATTTGTAATTTAGTGCTTGACACCTCTGCCCTTTACATGCATGTGTCCACTGTGTCAGAACTCCTTCTGCATCCTTTTCCAGGCAGGGGTGTGGGGTGTGGTGGGGAACCGAGGGATGAAGGCCTCTGGCTCCTTTGGCTCTCTGTGGACTCTTCCTCTGAGAGGAAACGTCTCTCTGGAGGTCTCTAAAGCCAGCCGCTCCCTGCAGTTGAGCACCTCATATGGCAAGCAAAACATCAGCTTTGCTGCTTCTCTGAACACAGCTGATAAGGTGGGTGGAGACAAACATGGACCGGGTGTGTTAAATGTTTTTTTTACTCATACAGGGAATGTGCTGAGTAAAATGATTTGTCTTCTGATGAACCGTCTCTGCTTACAAACTGGTTTAAGAGTTTAAGAAAGAAGCTGATGATTGTAAGGATGAGCTGGTCGAAGCCAAAGAGTGAAACCTCTGAAGTGGAGATTGAGGGGGTGGTGGAGGAACTGAGGAGGGACAAGGACATGTACCAGAAAACTGCTCTGCTGCATCTCAGGTCTTCTGTTTCAGCCTGACTAACAGTCTACTGACGTAAAAACAACACTGTTGATTTTAACCCCTCTCGTCTCACACAGGCAGCCCCTCCAGAACTTTCCTCAGTCTCTCCTCCTGAGGGAAACCTTCACCGTTGACCTCCTCAAAGACATCTACGTTTTGGAGTCCAAAGCTAAACTCTATGGTAGCAGAGAAATCATCCACACCCTGACTCTGGGCTATAAACCAACAAACCTATTTGTAAGTCAAGTGCAAAATCATTGATGAGCTCGAGAGTCAAGAGGATGGTTTACGTCTATTATCAGTGATTTCATCAGTTGTATGTAGTAGTAGTAGTAGTAGTAGTAGTAGTAGTAGTAGTAGTAGTAGTAGTAGTAGTTCTTTATTCATTTCATTTGTAACACAAATTAACAAAGTGCAGAAAAACATGCAATCAAAATAAAATCAAATAAAATGAAAGGCAGCAGAAGAAGAATAAATCTTCTAATATCTGCCCCCTTTTTTATACCCAAAATATGTTCAAAAGAAAAGTAAAAATACAATAAAAATGAAATAGAAACAAAAAGACATCAATTCAAAAAAACAATTAGCATGAATTCACTTATAATTCTCCATATTTCTTCAGACTACTATTTTTTTTCATTCTCTTCAATATATACAAGGA